ATAGAAAACTATGGATCGCGTTCATAAGCATAACATAAAAATTATGTCATCTTAATAACCAAGTTTCAAAATTGTGCAAATCTCATGGTTGAGATTCAAATAATTTTTGTAATAACCTACCTTTTTTTTTATAATGTTGATATAGGTATTTTTATAATTAAGTTCTACTTAATAGGTTCGGAATTAAGAACTCCAGGGTCAAGACCAATAGTAGTTCCACTAGAAAAAATGAATTAAATGCGACCTAGAAAATAACATCAAATTATATAACAATGGGCATGGGTTATACATATCAACCCGGGGACAAATTTATCATCGATTAAGCAGTCTGCTACCATCATAATGTTCAACTAAGAAGTTTGTTGAGTTATACATTCACCAACAGGAGAAATAAGTTGAAATGACTTTGATTCGATTATTACATACAATAATTTGAATTATCTACGTGAATTTCTATCACGAGTCAAAGAAATGTTAGAGAATCACAGTATTTGGCTCAAACAAATAAATGCGCCATTGAAAAAAAAAATCAATAAAAATTTATGTACAACATATGAAGTTGAAAGTTGTTGGTCAATCAGAAAGCACGTGATTGTAAATATGATCTTTAGAATGGTGATGAATTTGTGACTCTTTTGTTTTACATGATCGTTCTCAAACTAAATACCAGACAAAGCTCGAATAATAAATAATGTTAATAAATATATACAAAGAGAAATAATAATCTGCCACAATTGAAAATAACAAATTATATAATAAGAAAAAACAAAAAAATATAAAATAAACACACCTCACGTCGGGCAGACAGAAAAATAATGTTATATATGCTTTATGCATAGTAATTAGTAGTAATGTGTGAGATGCTAGAGTAGTGTAGTTGTATACATCGGGATTCTACGGTGCTAGGACTGTATTCGTGTCGTCGAAAAGCAACCGGCTATTGTCGGTGGACTCCGCTCTTTTACTTCTTTGTTTCTGTATTTTTTGGTTACTATTATATGCAAATAAAAAGCCATAACCATGTACTTATTGTTTCAACTTTCAATTACTCATTCTTTTCTAATTAGTTTTAATTAGTCTATATTTATGTTGCTTCAGATATTAATAGAGGTATTAATAAAAAAATATTTATACGGGTGTCAGGTGAATGACTTAGTATTTACAAATAGGGATATAGTAATGAAATGGTCAATATTTTTTTTCTTCTTATAATGGTGATACATTTTATCTGAAATTGTGTTAATAATCAATATTTTATAATAACATACCTTTCTTTTAAAATGACAATTGCGATTTATACAATTGGCGATTTTTCATAAATTTTGCTTGAATTATAATCACGGTCATAGTTAGTAAATACTCCGTTTAATACACTTATATGTACCCGTACGTATTTTATCCGCTTAAAACTTTCGTATCCGTATTATTGTCAAGCCGTTTCATTTTTTACCGTTCATTTTATGTCTCTCGTACTAAACAAGTATAAAACTCGTATATCACGTTTAATATCCGTATTTAATGATTTAAATTTGCTAACTTTACTATTATTTACAGATTTATTTATTTATATAATAATAAATTTTAAAAATTTATGAATATTAACGTACTATTAAACGTAACATTAGCTTAGAAACGACGTAAAATACCCGTATGTATTTTATATGTAACTTTCTCGTACCGTATTTTGCTAACTATGATCACGGTTGTCACGGTGGTGGAATGTCGGCCAGTTAAACTTGGTATAACCAGTTATGGTCATGAAATCGATAGGAATACCAATGATATGACTAGCATGATTGATTTCTGACCACTAAACAAATTACGCGGTTTAGAAAATTTAATTAACAAAATGATTAATTTGTGATTTCATTAATTTAAAAGTTAAATATTGATTTTTTTTAGATTCAAAGATAAATGTTTGGATGTTGATATTAAATGTTGTATTTAAATATGAATATTTCTTGTTTTGTTTGAAATATTGTAATTTATTTAAATATGACTGTAAATTGTAAGTAGATTGTCCTTAAATATGTTTTTATATATGCTCAAATTACCGGTTTTACTACCTTGCTTATAACATAGACTATATGTTGATTATTTAGAAAAATAATAATTCCAAAACATATTTCTTGTTCGCAAATGAGATTCTTAATATTTGAATATGCATTATTCGAAATTACCTGCATTTTGTCGTTTAATGATTAATTAATTATTAATATAACTCTTTTAATGCAAGCAGACATCGCGTTCTCCGATACGGTGAATGTCATTCAGCACCTGGACCTCACTCGTAGCCAGGTGTCGCTCTACATGACCTACACGGGTAGTCTTTGTCCTATGCTATAGGAAATATGTTTTTATATATGCTCAAATTACCGGTTTTACTACCTTGCTTATAACATAGACTATATGTTGATTATTTAGAAAAATAATAAGTCCAAATCATATTTCTTGTTCGCAAATGAGATTCTTAATATTTTAATATTCATTATTCATAATTACCTACATTTTGTCGTTTAATGATTAATTAATTGTTAATATAACTCTTTTAATGCAAGCAGACTTTGCGTTCTCCGATACGGCGAATGCCATTCAGCACCTGGACCTCACTCGTAGCCTGGTGTCGCTCTACATGACCTACACGGGTAGTCTCTGTCCTATGCTATAGGAACCTTTGTCACCGGAGTGGCCGTCAATCGATACAACCGGAGGTACCTTTTTGTTGTTGGGGGCGTCGTTTACGTAATAGGAGCGTTGGTCATGACCTTCACGATGAACTATTTTGCATCATCTTCGAAACATCACCTTCTACTACTCATGCTTACCACAACACCTTTCCCCAGGTAGTTTATATTATGGGATGCACTATTCGTAGCCCTAACTTGGCTTTATTTGTAATCTTAAATTAAGAAAAATACAATAATACCAATCACATTAAAATATATTTAGTTCACACATTCCACGACCAAAAAATTCAAACACTTTCCCCAAACACAATCCTACAATACTCGCTGCCGTTGACCGCCATAGTTAGTAAAATACGGTACAAGAAAGTTACGTAAAAAATACATACGAGTATTATATTTTGTCTCTAAGCTAAAGTTACGTTTAATAGTACGTTAATAGTCATAAACATATAAAATTAATCATTTTAAAAATATATAAATAATATTAAAGTTAACAATTTAATTTTGTAAAATAAGGATAATAAACGTGTTATACGGGTTTTATACGTTTTTAGTACGGGAGCCATCAAATGAACGGGGAAAAATGAAACGACTTGACAATAATACGGATATGGAAGTTTTAAACGGATAAAGTATGCACGGGTACATATACGTGTATTAAACGGAGTATTTACTAACTATGTTGACCTCTACCTGCGCGCCTCCATGAAACATAACCGACAAGGTATGCCGGCAATTTTTCTCAGCGACGGGCGATCTTGCCATTGGTCACGGCCGTCGCCAGATATCCTGTCGGACGTCGACGGTCGTGAACAGATAGTTAGGTTGAACGTTGCCGTTTTTTTATTTACTGTTAATTTAGATTTGTGAAGTATATTAAAAATTTTAAATAGATATTAATTTAGATATTTTGGTTATTATTTTAGATGTTTTATAATAGATTGATGAATAATTTAGAATTTTAAAAATATTTAGTGATTTTATTGTAATTCATTATTTTATGAATATTTTAATTATCATATTTTTAGATGGATTTTTTATAATATTATTTGTAAAATGAAGTTCTTTAATTTTATTTTTTCATATTTTGAAACTAAGTTAATGTTTACCAACAATAATTTAGACTTTTAAGAATATTTACTGTTTTTATTGCAATTTATTATTTTATGAATATTGTAATTACCATATTTTTAGTTGTATTTACTATAATATTATTTGTAGAATGAAGTTCTTTAATTTTATTTTTTGATTTTGAAACAAAGTTAATCTTTGCTGACGATAATTTAGACTTTTAAGAATATTTAGTGATTTTATTGTAATTTATTATTTTATGAAGTTCCTGAATTTCTTGAAGTTGGTCAACATTTTTTTGACAATATTTTTCTTTTATGTATTTCTTGAAGTTGGTCAAGTTCGGACTTCTTAATATCACTACATCAGACAATGAGTAACACGGTTAGTGAGTTAAAATTTTTAATTTTAGAATCATGTTGAATTAGTTATTGTTACGATGAAGCCTAGTAATTGATAATATGCTTAAATATTTTTTTACAATGATACATATTGTCCGAAAAATGTTGAATTATTGATTTTGTTGTGTTGGTGATAATTTAATTAGTACGTGTCTACTTGTTAAAAAAAATGTGTTATTGCATGTTGAAATATTAGGATTTGGTAGTTAATCATGCTTAATGGGCTAATTTGTTGTTGAAAAGCTATTGAATTAGAATTTTATGTTTGAATATTGAATAATTGTTAATAATGTATTTAATATTTTTTTAATAAGAAGATAAATATAAAATCTAATGTTGTAAACAAGTCATCAAATTTTCTAAAACTTACATAAGACTCAATCCATATCAAATTGTAAGAATTCAATTTACAACAAACATTAAGTTATCAAAAGTGTTGAAACTTATGTAAGACTCAATCTATATCAAATTGGAAGAATTCAATCTACTACAAACATTTTCAAAGTTAGTATCACTAATAAAATAAATGTGTTTATTTCAGGAAGATCCGAAAGATAAGAGAGACAAAGTTGATTATACTCAATTTTTCATAACAAATACGAGATATAAGTCAAGGAATGAAGCTATGAAAGCCGTGAAAGTGATTGCAAAAGATCTTGGGTTCTTTTTGACACACACCGAACCCCCACTCTTAAGCGAAGGCTTGGATCGTTCACTCAATTGTTCGGGAAACTGTCATTAGGAATGACAATGGGACAGGTCCGGGGTGGGTATCTCGATACCCCGCCCCATTGCAAGGTTCTGGTGGATGCTATCAAAGGTCCGAAGAAAGATTGGACATGGAAAAGGGTGCAATTTGTTGCGCCCCTATCTCGCCAATGCCCATCCCTACTCCAAATGAACGCCATGCCAGGGTACGCAACTTGGAAAGACCCAACCCCAAAACGTGTTCAGCCATTACGCGCATGTCTATTGTAAGTTCAGTCGCGTTATGGAATTGCATTCAGCACCCGGAAATCAAAGTATCGTCTGATAAACAACACTTTCGCATTACTCCGAGCAGCAAATGGGTAAGCACTTTACAATTCACATTACAGGGCTTACATTTTATACACAAATACTATACAACTGAGGAGAAGAAGAAGCTTAGGTGGAAATATGTTCAGCAGTCAGCCCCAGAGAACTGTGTCTTTAACTGACAATCTGCCTTGGCCAATGCTGCTTTCCTCGTAATCGATTGTCCATTTCTCAAACGTGCAGTTGTGGAAATCATAATACCCTCCATGAACACTCAACAACCCTTTACTTACTTTCTCTTCAATCCATGGATAAGTCAGCAAGTTGAGCATGGAACGGTTGATTGATTCCTGCAATAGAAAAAACAAAGTTGGATCTCTGAAATCAACTGAAAGACAAAAACAACGCTCAATTTGCATAGTTATGGAGATAGCAAAAGACCCTCTCGCAATGTTTGCATTGTTGTTCAAAGCTGAGGTGAGATGCATCAGCTTCTGCCGTAAACTTGGCAGCTTTTGCATTGGCAACCCATTTCTCGGTGAAGCTGCAGTAACAGAATGGAACAAAAATTGAGTTAACCTGATAGAGACTCAGCATACAGAAACCAAAGCGAAAGGGGAATGAGTAATAAATCATGTAACTTAAAAACCTGGAGTTCTCTTCCTGCATACTCATAAGAGTTTGAATACCAGCACAGTCGCTATGGCCAACGACGAATATATTCTCAACCTACGAGCAGCAAAAAAACTAATTCACTTCACCTATTTTCATGTTCAAGTCAACAATGGTCAGACTACATACAAGAAGAAACTTACACAATGAGCTAGATTACTTCATAATCTAGTATGGAGCATTTAACAAACAAGTGCGTCGGAACAGAACAATCATAAGCTATTTGAACTTCACAATGATCTTTTATAAATTTGTAAGAGCTCAAAGTACAGTTGACAGAAGAAGTCTTACCTGGAGAGTGTTTACAGCAAATTCCAGGGCAGCATTGGTTTCAGTAGGGCCACACTACACATTTTTGAAGGGAAGGTTAAGAAAGAGAGACAACTATAAGCTGTTTCCATCAGAGTCATGTTGAAGTTGAGAAAGGGAATTACTGAAAATCTATGAGTACCTCAAGAGGAGGGACGATGTTTGCAACGTTACGGATCATAAAAGCTTCCCCAGGCTGAAATCCCAGGATGTTCGAGGGGCAAACCCTGGAGTCTACACAGGCAATCACCATAAACTGTTCAAAATCGTCAGCTCAAAGAGCAAAATTGGAAAACAGCTCTATCAAAAGCACCAGCACAAGATATCATAGGTCTTGTTAACTTCAAATCTGCTACCTTTGGGAATTGCATTTCAGAGAGAGCTCGGAAGTGTTCCAGTTTTTTCCTATACAAAGATCGAGAAGCATGCATTTTCTTTCTATTAGCACCAAACAAGTCAGGGAAAACACCATTAACACAACAACGATCCCTTGTTTGTTACTCACATATACGTCTGCTTCTTAAAACTCAGAAATCTCTGTTTCATCTCTTCAAAGTCCAATCCGCTTTGAGCGTTAGGCGAGCACTCAACTTCAGAGTTTCCCGTTTCTTGGGCAAATACATCGCAACTAACAGAGGTATGGAGCTTCAGAGCTTTTCTCCTGAATCACCCAAACTTACCTAAATGAATATCATAGCAGACAAAAAAAATTGACAGTAACCCAGAAATCGGAAAACTCTCTTACCCAACTGAAGGCGATAAGTGGAACCGGTGATCGTGGGCTTTCGCTATTCTTGTCTGAGAGAAAAGCAGTAAAAACAGGTGGATGAAAGACGAACCCAAACAACCAAGACGAGGAGCAGCAGTAGTTAATTAAAGTTTACAACTCACACTGACAAAATTAGGGCAGTTTCGGAGAAAACCCAGAAACGAAGAATTGGTGACCGTCGAAGAGGGCGGGCAGTGAAAGGGTTCCCCGGCGGTGAATGCAAGAGATAGCCTAAGATCAGGTGGAGCCGCCATTGTTGCGATGAAGTTGCGAAGTTTTGACCCTAACAAGTCAATGGGATTGTCATGCTAAATTAGAAGTGCTGAAAACTTAAAAAAAGGAACAGACGAGGTGAAGTAGGAGGAGCTTACGGATTGAGGAGACCATAGCTGTTTTCACGAATCTTCCCGCGCCGTTTGGCAATAGTTGATATCTTCAACTTTCCTTTAATAATTCCTCGATTCCCGGGAATGGAAAATCATGTTTTTGTTTAATCAAAGAGCTCCATAGCCCATACTTATCCAATTGCTTGCTCACTTGGCAATTATTTGGCAGAGAGAGAGAGTCATCTTGTGGCTATCCAATTATTTCCCAACGACGAGAAAAAGCAGAACACGGAACTGAACTCAGCAAGCATCAATCTTTGATGGGTGCGATGGAAAGAAAGATTCAGCCATGCTTTCCAGTTTCCAGCATACAAGCAAAAACTCATTTCTTAAAAAAATGGTTTTTACAGATGCTTGATTCCAAATGAAATGACTTTAAAATGAGTTCTTGGCTAGAATTCATTACAAATGAATTCTTATGTTAAAATATCATTTCAAATTTTCAGAGATAAATTTAATTAAATTCTTAAATCGTTGAAATACATTATAAATTGAATTAAATAAAGAATTTTCAACTATACACTTATTAATTTTCAGGAAAAGCAAAAAATTTATTACTCTTTGAAAACTCATCTTTTAAAAACGCTAGTGTCAAATTTATCATTCAACCATTTCGACCAAGCAAAAAAGGAAATTCGTTATAACTGGTAAACAACTTCAAGATCCATCTTCTCAAGAGAAATTTTACAATGCTATATAGAATCGGTGCTATAAGATTTTGCCTTTATAGTACAACTTAAAATTGTACATTTACGTTATGGTACAATTTCATATTGTACCTATACATTTTGTACAAATTATTTTATGGTACAACTTGAACTTGTACTTTTATGTGATGGTACAACTTCAAGTTGTAAAGTTGTACCATAACATAATGATACAAATTGTTTTATGGTAATTCAACGAAAACAAATTGTTTTATGGTACAACATAAACTTATACACTTAATGTTATGGTACAACTTTAAGTTGTACATTAAAGCATCAATACTATATAGCATAGTAGAAGTGCTCTCTTCTCAAACGCAAGTGTCAGAATTATCATCCAACCAATTCGACCAAGCAAAATACGAAGTCGTAAAAACTAGTAAACAACTTAAAGATCCATCTTCTACAAACATCCGTTGTAACCCATTTTTATCGTGAGCCAAGAGCAATTGTTCCCCTCCTGCTTATATATTAGGCTAAGTAGCATTTGAGCGAGAAATTTAGGTGCGCAAATATATGGAGCATTGACGCCAAATTATATACATGGGGTAATTTATTTCATAATTGAGGATAGTTATGTCGTTTTATCATAATTAGTAAAGTACTTGTGGAATTCATTTGAAAATTTCACTTTAATTTCTCAAAATTTCTAAAACTAGCTCAATTCCGAAGAATTCAAAATTTAGAATTGAAAACAAATTCCATTATATTCCAAACACACACAAAAAAATTATTTTAAAATGAATTTATGAAAACTTATGGAATTCATTGTAACCGAACAGTTTGTAAGGGTTGTTTGGAGAAGAAAAGAATTTGAAGTATGGAGTTAGAAAATTCTTTTTTGACGGAAGGATTTGGAAAATTTGGAGATTCTGAAAAAAAAATGTTTTCTATTTATGTTTCTATTCGGTTTAGATATTTTGGATATTTAAAATATAGAGATATAAATCCCTAATAAATACTAGCTTATAACCCGTTCCATTGGCCGGAATGTTTTTATTTGATTATTTATATTTTTATGTTATGTTAAGCCAATCAACCGGTTTAATTTTATTGACAATCCTTCGATCGAGATGATATATAAAGAAAGAATATGTAGGTCTAACATTCAGAGAAATACCATCATCATTTAAGAATATAAAATATAAAATGTATCATTAATTTCATTTTCATAATGATAATTAAGCCATCGTTAAAATACTATTGGTTAGTTGATTGTCAAGAAAGAGGGTATAAAAGCTCAGTGAAATTCCACACGATCATTAGATAGTTTGAAACTAAATCACCTCACAATCCTACATAAGGGTTTAATGCGCTCCATTAATGAACAATATGTCACTAATCAAAAAGAAATGGAGAGTTGTTGATTCAAGTCAACTATATACTAACAACTCAGTTAAGAGGGGATCATCAAAACTTGAGAGCAAACGACAAATTTAGGGTTATCTCCAACATACTAATAGACTCAATCAAAGTAATAATGCACAAAATTACACACTCCTTGTCTATCAGTTCCAGTAGGTTGAATAAAGAATCGACCTACTTCAATAAATCAATCAATGATTCCTCGTTTTAAGATATAAATAGGTTGTGATAGATGTAAAAATCATAAACATAAAGATCCAATAGCCACCACTCTTCATTGTACAACCAAATTTTTATCTCAAGAGACATATGTTTCAACCAAAAATTCAATTTCGAATCCTCCTTCTGCAACTCCATTATTGATTAAACTCTTTTACTTGCCCAACTTAAATCCCCAACAATAAAACCGCGTGCCAAGAGATACCGAATGATCGATTTTCAAAGGTCGCCTTGTACTGGGAAGTGAAAGGGGCGCAAACTATTGTACGATGGAGGAAATTTTCGAGGAAGTTAGAAAGAGATAAAAACAAAGATAAAAACCACAAAATTTAAATTGAAAAATGCAAAGACACAACACATAGTGACAAAATTAGTTTTTTCCATGTTAGCCAATTACCAATTTACCTTTAGCAAAAATTAAGGAGAGAGAAAGAATTTTAAAATTGAGAAAATTACATGAAACTCTACTATGAAAATTGAAGTATCAATCACCATAAGAAAACATACGCTATACTTAGTGGGCTTGCTAATCATGATGGAAAGTCCTGCGATTTTCAGAGAGTTGAACTTCGTTTATATTTTGTATTCAAAATGACACAATAAATTTGTTCAGTGTAAATGGTTGTGATTGTTGTCTTTGTTTGAAGAGACCCGGGTTCAAATCTTGATGTTGATATTTAATGTGAGATAAATAATTAATTGTAAAGACAAAAATGTCCTTCCTACTTTCACTCTCGTTGCAGGAAATTTAAAATAGAGAAAAATACACAAAAGTGTACTATATATTATTGGGGGATAGAGACTTATATTCGGATTTATGATTTTTTTTTTTAGCTTTGATCTCTTTCTTTGATCTATTACACTAGACACTATTACTAATAGTGGTGATACTTGGTTGCCTGTTATGTTTGTAAAACATCATCTACGACAGAATCCACGGTAAGCAAGGGCTTCATCATGTTGTAGCTTCTGAAAACTTAGAAACTGGATTGATCGAGATTTTCACTATGGGGTTGTTTGGATGGATCAATTCAAAAAATGAGACAATTTGGTAATTGTCTCATTTTAAAAACCGAGTCGATTTGAATTGTCTGCCCCCACCGCAGACAATTGTAATTCCCCAGGCAAAATTGTTTCATCTAAATTTTGTGCTACCAAACGGATCAATTTGGTGAGATTGACTCAAAATGAAACAATTTGGCCAAATTGATTCGTTAGAATTCCTCATCCAAACGACTCCTATGATTTATATATTATGGACTCCCAAACATCAAACCCATTGGATTATTGTTATTGTTTTGTTGTTGACGACCATCGTTGTTGGTGTTGTTATGAACTTGCCCACCATCGCCACTGGATGTGGCATTGTATGTGCCAAAAGGAATGCCATGAGATCCCTGTGTTTGTGATAGTGTCAACATAACTGGAGCTGAAGCAGAAGGCGGATTACAACTGTACTTATACAATGAGAATGAAGAGTTGCTAGGTTATGTCAAGAACGAATTGATCTCAATAACTCGAGTTTTTGGGAGAAGGTTATGCTGGTTCTTATACCACTCTCTAACACGCCCCCTCAAACGAAAGCCAACTCACGGGCTTGAAGTTTGCATAGGCCCACCATACCTTGTGCTTTAATAAACTGTTAACATTGGGGGTTGCGGAATTGAAAATAACACGGGACGACGAGTTTTACGTGGTATCCTCGATCGATTAATTGATCGAGACTAATCCACGGTGAGCTCGAAAGAGCTCACGAGACGATTTTATTAAGGACTACATTGTGACGGCTTGCTTACGACAATCTCGTAGCTAAGCTTATATATAGATAGACTTACGGGTAAAACCCTAATGACAACCAAGTTCCTTCTTTTACCGGGACAAGGAAACAAAAGACTTGGAGGACAAGGAATTAATTACTTTTTGACTAAGTAATTAGTATCCTCAACCCCCCCCCCCCCCCTAGCGAAGACATGAATGACAAGAATGTCGAATTTGAAACTGAACAACACTCAAACAACCTCTTGCTGGCAATGACGATCCATTAGGCTGTGACTTTGTTCGCTTGCATGAGAGGTAGACAAATGATGAAACTACTCCATGTTTGACCCAGTTCTTTGGACAATGAACTCAACATGGTGAAATTCCTTGATGTCTTGGATGGGCTTCGGATAGCATAACAACACCATAAGTGTTGTTAGTATAACAACAGGGGTATAAGGGTCAATTGCACACATATTAATTAATAAGTTATTTTCTTTTACCTGGTATTAAATTTGAAATTCGAAATTAATGATAAAAATTCATTGAAGCGCGCAATTTGCCATTTCCGTTTTCCCCTTTCCCCTCTGCTCACGAACTGCTCTCCGACTTCTCCTTCGGTTGCTCTCTCCCTGTTCTCGCGATTCCGTTTCCTCCGTCGGCGATTCCGTCTGCGGCTTGTGGATTTCGTTCGCGCGATTGTGTTTCCTCCTTTGGCGAAGTTAATTTCGAGGTATTCCGCCGGTGATTTCCTCCGCTAAACTGTCTTCTCCTCTGTCGTCAGTTTTGGCCTTCGAAGTCGCCGTTGTCGTTGTGGCGTCGCCGGAGTTCCACTTGTATGGTGTTAGTTTGGCGTCGCCGTTGTCGTTTTCGTTAGCATTGTCGTTGCTTGCTGCTGCTATTGAATTTATAACTGTCGTTTTCAGGTTTGCTCTCTGTTACTTTCGTTTTCCACTTTTCTGCGATGTTTTGACGCATGCAGTCTAGATTTGTTGTATGAGACGAGGAAATTTCATAATTGTGCGTTGTGGTTAGGTTTGTGTGTTCTGATTAGGTTTTGTTGAATGTTTTAGGGTTTCTGTGGTGTGCTTTGCATGTTTTAGGGTTTCTGGTTTCTCATGAGTCGTTTGTGGTGGTGTTCAGTAGTGCTGTTGTTTTGTTCTTATTTTTGGTGGTTTGCTTTGTGTTTGGTGACGGTTAGGATGTTTGTGGGTTTGATTGGGACCTTTCTGGAGGTTTTTAATGAAACTATTGTGTATTTCCAGGCTGCTGTTGGTGGTTCTTTTAAAAGGTTTTGTGGTTA